CTGTTTCAGTAGAATCGTATGCAGAGGTCAGAAATTCACCAAGAAACAGGGCTTTTAATTCCTGAGTTCTGGTCAGATTTCAATAAAACATAAGCTTTAGGAGAGCAGGAAACATGACTAGATGTATCCACAGTGATATCCTCAGTACAGCACCTCGAACCATGCCTGGCACATAGTGGGCTTTCAGCGCACACTTCCTGAATCAGTTACAATTTTAGCCACTCGCAATGTTGTTCTGTGGTTTTATTTAAACTAGTTGTCAGCATGGAATGACTTCTGCATTCTCTCCTGGAAGTGGGTGAATTTCCATGGTGAGCAATTCCTCTATATACAGTTTGCAAATCATTTTGGGAACCTTCCAAATGAAAGGCACTGTATAAATATACCCTCCCACCAGCAGCCAGCCGGCTTTCCACCGGGGATGCATTTGCATCGCTTATGTACATAGTGTTTCATTTGGGGCATTGCTTTTATTTTTATGACCATAAAAGAAATATTCACAGTATGAACAATAATGTAAACTGCATTCAAGAAGATGTATATTTGTATATTTTTATGATTCAAAACTTAGAAATCTGAAAGAAAAGCAGGCATGGCATCTTTCTTTCCTGTTGCTGTTCGCCTTTTCATAGCGCTCTCTATTATGTCTGAACTTTATGGTGGAATTGTGCTGAAATGCTCATCTTTGTCTGTACATCACTCGAGAATATTGGTGCTGGGTTCAAATGAATGTTGCTGGGAAAAGGCCTGGGAATGAAGGGCGCTTGGTTTTGCATTTATTCATGTGTGTAATAACAGTTTTGCTTTAGTGCTGCCTTTTGGTGGATGGACTCCTCTTTAAGGAGAGAAAGAGAAAAGTAAGCAACCTTTGGTGTAAAATGCTTTCTAAGTAACTTAGCATGATAATGGGGACTTTCACAGATGGGAGAGAGTTTGAAGAGTCGCATTTGAGCCTTTATAACAAAGGGGGGCTGATTTCATAGAGCATTATTGGGGAGCTAGAGTTTGAATTTATATCATACAGAAAACGTTTAATGAACTTGGAAATAAATTACCAATGGAGTCAAATCAAAACCGCTATAAATTATGTATTTACTTTACATGGAATCATCTGCATACAAAAGATGAATGGAACTGTAACTCCTTAATTTATACATTTCCATAATTAATTAAATTTAAACAGAATGAAATATCCCATGCCAGACATTTTCCAAATATGTTAGCCTTAAGGATTTCAATAAAAAGAGGAGCTACTCTGAATATGAAGAGTATTTTTGTATAACAAAACTTCTGAAAATGTAGATTAAACACAACTCTTGCTCACTTCGCTGAGGAATGATGTGATATGTGGAAAATTAAATGCAAGCTACCGTTTGTTAAAGGTGGCTGCCTAAGAATTTGAGTTCATTTCCTGTGTTCACAATTCTCTTTCATAAGCACAAAACCTTGTATTTTCTCATTTTTTCCTACTAGAACAATGAAAGTGATTTTGAAACCTTAGCTATAGGATAGCAATGTTAAGAAATAGCTCACTCAGGTTATCTGTGGCTTATAAAGTAGATAGATGTTCACTGTATTCTCCATCTCCTCAGTCAGAATATTATTGGAGTTAAACTCTAATTTTATACTCCCAGTAGTACCAACTTTGTTTCCTTAAAATGAATGTCTCATTTAAAGTATCTTGACATTCTTCTTTTTTATTATTAGGAAATAGAAGAGTAGTTACTTTAATTGAGAAAAGCTAGAAGCAGAGAATTGATCTGCAGCCAGTTTTTACTACAAACCCCATAATGCTTTGGATTATAGCCTACAATCCCCATACTGCTGCACCAAACTTACTGTTAACCATCCCATTACTGGAAAAGAAAAAGAACCAGAACATTTGAGAAGAACTATGTAACATGCAAGGTTACCGATTAAATAGTAAACTATTAATTTCTGCAATATTTTGAGGTTTATTTGCCCCTTTCTTTATTAAAAAAATAGGTATATTTATGGCTATGCTCACTATTTTTTAATCCCGAATGTAGTATCACCTGTTCTCAGTGTGCCAAGGCATATATACTTTCTATCTCAAAGCCCTTTTTACACCCATCATTGAGTTGTGTAGTTTTTTACCTGCCCTTTGGAAGGGAGGTCAGTTTTATTCCGATTTTAAAATAAAATCACAATACATTGTTTAATGCTCTACACATCTGCAAATGAGAATTCCGTGAAGTAATTAAAATTCTTAATTAGATGCACCTTGCAGCTGCTCTTAGTCTTAATTGGCAATAATGCAGCTACATTTTGTTCTGACACATATCTTCAGAGGAGTTAGAGAGAGAACTGAAGGCAGGCAAGAGGAAAATGTTCCCACACAGTTCAAGACAGTTCGCACAAAGAGGATCCCATGGCAACAAACAGCGAGGCCCACAGTTGGCTCTGTAAGATCCAGGAATAGACAATGGTTCACCTCGATTTCAAACAAACCGCTTTCCTTCCTGATCCGAAGAGACAGTGTTTTAAATCATCTTTTGCAATAGGATCGAAATGGTCAAATGTTCACCTGTGTCTTTAACACACTTTTCAAAGTTACTGGACACTCTTTTGCATGCAGCCCATGTCAAGGTAATCATTAGAACTCGTGCTCTGGGCAGAGCAAACTGACTGGCAGAAGCCTTGCAGATAGAAGACCTGGTTTTTGTGCCATATGGAGCTGGAGTGGACCTTGGCAACCAGTTCGGTTCAGCCTGTCATTTTACAGACAAGGAAACTGAGACCAAGAGAAATTAAAGTGATTCCCTCGGGTAATTATGACTACTTAGGAGTAGAAATTAGATTTAAATCAAGGATTTGAGCATACAGTCCAAGACTTCTACTTCTAAACTTTGCTTGAAGCAATTAAATTTGTTAATTGTGCCCCCTCCCAGTCCACTTGAGGTCTAGTTCTTCACTTAAGTGGGTCAGCCAAGGACTGTGATAGGTGTTGAAATGTGGATCACCTGCTACGAGAAGAAAATACATTTCCCCTTAACCTCTGGTTCTAAGTTTGCTCTGGATTAGAGCATATGGGGACCTAACAGGGAGAAAGGATGTCACATAGGAGGTTAATCTTGGTGAATTCCCTCCAGGGAGAAACCATTTAAGACTTGCTATATACTTTAACCAGCTTTTCCCCCAGCTTGGATTGGAAATTTCAATATACAGCTCCTTCTTTAAAAATACAGGTTGACCTCCCTTTCCAGTGTCCGAGCACCTATTCAGTCTCACCAGTGCCTGAGTTGAGCTTGCCTTAGTTTAGCTCACATTTTACCAAATATTTGCAAGCGTTTCCTTTATCTTCAATTGTGTTTTACTCCCCAAATGAAATGAATACACAGTTCTCTAGGGCCAAGGCTGCTTTACCTATTTAAGGTTCTATTTTTGGTTTATCCTGCTAAACCTTACATTACAAAAGAGTGTGGGAAATGCTGTGGCGTCGGTTAAGGTTTTCGAGAGGGGGGGCTACAAGTGGCGTATGGGGAAGGTTGAAGAGTAGAAAGATGGAGGGGTGGCGACTGGAAAGTGCTTCTCAGTCCTTTAACAGTCAGGCCCACCCCCCTGCTGTCAGAACCTAACACTGTGGTGGCAGTGTAAATATTGACACGTCCCTGGAGCCTTGCTACTCCAAGCGTGGTCAGTGGGCCAGCTGATTATACATGCAGGCTCAGGGGCCTCACTCCAGGCTTACTGAGTCAGACTCTGCATTTTAACAAGACACCCAGGTGATTGTGCATACATCCAACTTTGAGAAGTACAGAATCACTCGTAGTTTTACACCATCCCAAGGTAGTATCTACAGGGCCAGGATCTGCCCCTGAGTAAATACCCTAATATATTTGACCAGTAGCTAATCGGTCCCTCTTTCCCCATCAGGAGTCCATCTGGGAATCCCGCAGTGAGCCCCATTACACGGTGGATGGCAAGAGGACTGCCTTCAATCTCCTCCTCTCTGCCCGCGCTCTCCCGCCCCCGAAAGCCTTAGCAAGTACTCTCCCCCCATTATCCGTCCCTCCCCACACTGAAAGAGGGGCTCCTACCTCGGGGGCTCACAGTTTTACATACCAATACAGGCGAGAGCTCTCTGCAAAACTGCCCCGAGAAACAATTAGCACCTTGCCACCTGGGGTTTGGAGCAGCGCCCCCCCCCCCCATTCC